TTTCTATATATATATATATATATATATATATATATATATATATATATATGTATATCATAGTTTATTTCATAGCCATATATGGTTTTTGAAACTATAACCTAATCATGAACGTGCACCAGTGGTCCACCCATTAAGTCATGTTGCTGCATCATGTTTTTTTCTAGGAAAGTGATATATGTCATAACCAAGGGACTGTTGAATAATAGGAATTAAATTTTATATGATTATTGATGGTATTTAAAACATACATTTATTTATTTCCACCCAAAAGATCTCTAGCATAGTAAAATTCCAAATTGGGATTGAAATACGAGCATAATCCGTCACCGTAATAAAAAGAAAAGGATGTGTCAAAAAATTTAAATATTTTTTTTCTGATTTAAAATTCATTCTATAGAATTTAGATCATATTTTTATTTAGATTTTGAATTTTGTAAAATTTTTGTGTATTTTAGTTTAGGCGAAATCGGATTGGATCATTGTAACAACAATATATAAAACAATGGTCAACGGAATTCAAATGCGGTCAAATAAAATTACAAGATTCCAAACAAGAGAGTCTCTCCGTGAAGAATATGCAAAGTCGCTATTTCAAAGTGAAGTAAACATACAAAAACACACACTCGTGCTTTGGTCAACCTGTTATGAAAAGTCAACGGATTCATGTATTTGGTGTATGTTAAATAAAATCTTAATCATTTCAATAAAATATAATATGGAAGAAAAATGCTTTTTCGCCACTGCCCGTACGACGATAATAATAATAATAATAATAACAATAATAATAATAATAATAATAATAATAATAATAATAGAATTAAAATAAAGATGGAAATTTTCGGATAAAGATAAAGATACAAGTTGTTGTAGAAAAAATAGGAATATGAATTGATTAAATCGATATGAAAAGAAGATAAACAAGATTAAATTTTAAATCAACCAAACATGATATTTGTATTAAGGTATCGATTATAAATCTATCGTAACGGAGAAACGTGACTTGGATGCCTTAAAAGGTAAACGTTAAAAAAAATGTTACACTTAAGCCATCACTCAAGATTAATTGCGAAACAGGTAATGTGGGTACGACCCATTGGTTAATTGCCTTATATTATAAATCAACATGAATTAAAATTAAAATTTTTCGTTTTACACATAGTCAAAAAGGCATGGTAAATGACATTAAAAAGGAATTCATAAATTAGTAAAATAAATGTAATTAGATTAAATAAACCCAAACTGCGTATTCCGACCAAGACTTTTGAGAACTATTGAAATATTCCAATATAAATAAAGGAACCAAAAGGACACCGACTAAATCCCCGAAAGAGACAATCAAATACAAACAAAGATTAAAGCATCGAACTTTAGACATCTATGGTAAGTAAGTCCACTCCATAACCCAATAATAATTTACATTAATTTAACATAACCAAACCCCTTTCCCTTTCCCACGTAATATACGTTTATATGGAACCCGTAAAGTTATATATTTTTCTTTCAAGTATATAAATTTTTCAAAAAAAATATTGTTTAAAACAAACGAAAAATCGAAATAAATAAACTTATTTCGGCTTAAAATTTATAGGGATATTCGAAAAGATTAGATATCTAACCTAACCAACAAAAAAAAAAGATGGCATTATGAGGAATGCATGATCCTTACACGTTCAAGAACATGGGTTCGATAATCAGAGACACAAAAACATCTAATCCGAAGAAGATGCGAGTTTGGTCATTACAGGGAATTCTAAGTGTAAAGATACATTCCCTCATGTCTCATGCTTCAATGCGAAATAATGGCTTCGTCTTCTTATTAATTAATCAATTAATTAACGACCATTAAATTATCATTTAGTTGTTGAACTTAGACAATACAACACATGAAAGATTCAAAAGAGTTTTCCAATTTGGTTTTTTTTTAACTACCCTTTTGATCATATAAAAACAATTATTCTTCTTCGAATCATGTCGGATAACTTTATACGTAACTATAAGCTGTATTCTACGTATAATTTAATCAAACACACGGGTCTTGTTCCCACGCACATGCACATTATATACATGTGGACATATCCTTCCTTACACAACCGAAAACCCATCTCTCTCTCTTCTCTTCCTATTTTTTTCCTCCCTCTCTACACAAAACAAAATTAGGGTTCTTGAGCTAAAAATTCGATGGAGAAAGAAGAATGCAGAAGCAATGAATCCGGGTGGACCATGTACATCTCTTCGCCGATGGAAGAAGACGATGAAGAGGTAGTGGATGAAAACTATTATGATGAAGGGCATTATGTTTACAGAGAATGTCGGAAAGGCCATAAAGAAGACGAAAACAACAAAGATAGCGATGATTCGATGGCCTCGGATGCTTCTTCGGGCCCGAGTTATCAACATTATAACCAAAAACGAAACTCGGAGACTCATCCAAAGATCAATAGAGGAAGGAGAAGAGAAGGTTTTGTCTCAAGGAGTGGAAAAGGTGATAGTGTGGGTAAATGTTATGATGAAGATGATAGTTATGGGCGTAACGATAATAGCAGTAACTACAAAGGGAAGAAAAAAGAGAAGAAGAACGGCGAAAATAATAAGACTAGGCACAGAATGAAATAAATATAAATCAAATTTAAGTTGTATATTTTGGGACGTGATTAGGGCTTATGTTTTGGGGTTATTTTATGCCTCTAACATAAGATGATTCGTTATCTTCTTTTGAATTTTGCTTCTTCTTTGTTTTGTGTGCTTTTGCTCATTATCTTGAGGGAATGATTTGTGTAAGGTTTTATGTCTTTTTTTTTTACCTTTTATTTTAAAAGGAATATAGAGGGGGAGAGGGGGGGGACTATGGAATTTGTTAATAATAATTACCCTATATACGTTCGTAAGTTTGTAAAACACTATTTGATTTCCTTTCCGCTTGAATATAATCATCTCTTTACCATTCTTATTATGAGATGTAGTATTTCAGTTTAATATTTTGTTTAATGAAAATTATCAACATAACGGATCGGAGCTGATTTGAACGTCGGTCAGAATCTAGTGAATTCATATATTCTTCTTCATAATTATAAGAGACAATCAGTTAGGTTAAAGATGACGGTAATTCGAATTTACCAACGGTTAAAATATGCGAGGAAGAGACAAAGTACATGGAAACGTAATCGAAGTGTGAAGGTCACATAAGCATGTGTAATGAGACGTGGAGAGAGAGAGAGAGAGAGAGAGAGAGAGAGAGAGAGAGAGAGAGAGAGAGAGAGATTCTTGCAATGATCGAGGAAAAAAAAAAGTTATTTGCCCACGTTTCTCCGTTTCGAGAGGCTTGGTTTTCATGGTGTGTAAATCTCTGATAAGGAATCTCACGACACGACGAGGAAAAGAAAAAGCCGATGTTCTCTTTTCTTCCCTTTTTTCGCCAAACTGACCAAGAGAGAGAGAGAGAGAGAGAGAGAGAGAGAGAGGGTAACTCAATAATTGTTGTGAGTGTTTTGCCACAAATGTCACGAATATACAAAGTTATGTTGAAATGTTTTTGTTGGTTTTTGCTGTAAAGAGAAAATGGATCCACCACACACATACACATGCCACCCCACACTTACTCACCAAATTAAAATCACATAATTCCTTGTACGTATATATATACATGCATTCCAAGTCCTATATATATATATATATATACTTCTTTGGTTGGAATCTTTATTCTTAAATACGGTAATAGTAGAAGATTCAATTTAAATCGTTTTGAATGATTATATACATATACCATTGATGGTCAAGATGAATGTTTACCTTTCTATAGTTTAGTACTATAATTAAATTATAGAAACGATAATGAAAAACAGAATCATAGATATAAAAAGACTGGAGATTTTAACCTTAATTAAATCCATAAGCATATCAATATTTCTAGTTAAACTAAATTAAACAGTAAAGTTTGCTAGTTCACGTGATGAAGGGAAGTTTTCATAATCTTTATAAAGAATAGAAAATCTTCATATTCCAATATAAGACAAACTTTATTCCAAAGACAATGCTTCAAAAATTGAATCAAATTCTAACAATTAGATTGCATAAACAAATTAGATCGATTTTCAGACCGGATGGTAGAAAAGGTTGTAACAAGATCTTGAAAAAGGTTTGAGATTACATTAGATCTCGGACAAAGATATATAGGATATATATACATATCCAATAATATGAACAGAACATGATCTTCACATGGTTTTTGTTTTTGATGATAAAGTGAATCATTGTAAGTGGGTGGTCAATTCTTTGTGTGCTTGCAAGGACAGACATGAGATATTCCTTCTTTCTCCATGATCTTGCTCGAAAGTTTTTGTTGTCACTACAACTTTGTTATATATCAAATATTATCTTGTTTAATTTAAATAATATATATATTTTTACCTTAATTTCGAAATACTGAGTTACGATAAAACTAAGTAATTTAAAAAAATAAAAATTTCGGTCAGCGATTGATTTTAGTTTTGTTATCTAGACATAAAATGAGGATTTTCATTACAATTAAATAAAATTAAAAAAAATACGGGGTATTGAAACATGTGGGGTTGGGGGGGGGGAAAGACGGACGGACCCTCCGATTCGGTCAGAGGATTTATCCTCCCGTGCGATATTGAAACACGGGGGGTTGGGGGAGAGGACGGTCGGACCCTCCGATTCGGACAGAGGATTTATCCTCCCGTGCGATATTGAAACATGGGGGGGAGAAAACGGACGGACCCTCCGATTCGACCAGAGGATTATTCTCCCGTGACTGAAACCTTTAGTTTCGTGCAAAATGGATAAACATTTAAAAAAAAAGATAACCAAAGAAAATATTTAATTTCAGACTCAGCCGGTGAAACAATCACATGACAAAGCATTATCAATTATGTATGATTGTTAGTACATTCGCCCAAATTCGATCCAGAAATCCTTCATACTACAACTAATCGATGAACAATTCACATTACAAATAAATATACATCCCTCACCTTGTTTAAAAAAAAAAGGTCCGTCATGGCAATGAATATAAACGTTACAGAAGATCTTTCGATCTTCACGTAGGGCTGTTCTAAGCATAAAATGATGCAGATATTTTGTATTATTTTAACTATCAAATAAAATTTTGTTTTGTCGTATGAAATGAAAGTATTCGTCGTACGGATAGATGTCGCCTTTCCTATGCGTTATCGGACTCACCCTTTTGAAAATGGGTAACGAAGTCCACAAATTTCTCATGTTCTTACTTAAAGACATAACCTTTCCAAAGAAAGAAACACCAATCATGGTACGGAAACGAAGGAAAGCAGAAAAAGCTATGCATATATATATATATATATATCTACACACTCATCTGCGTATGTTTCTATACACACACACACACATGTGTGTGTGTATCTATATATAGGCGTGAGTCTGTATGGTGTACGCAAGCAAGATGAAGAAACAAAAGAGAGAAAGAAACTCCACTGTTGTTGGGATAAAAAGAAGACAGATTCGAAGATGGGACCAAAGTGCTGTTATAGTGACATACAATACGATAAAAACGCACACGCTTAGATTTACTTTCCTTTCCCGCAAGATTCAAGCAGCAGAGTGTGTTCTTTGTTGGCCTGTCTTTGTTTTTCTGTTCAATCAAAGGCCATTTCGATGTCTCTTCTTCTTCCACTCAACGCTTTTTTTTTTTTTGCATCTTCTTGCAATGATCGAGGAAAAAAAAAAGTTATTTGCCCACGTTTCTCCGTTTCGAGAGGCTTGGTTTTCATGGTGTGTAAATCTCTGATAAGGAATCTCACGACACGACGAGGAAAAGAAAAAGCCGATGTTCTCTTTTCTTCCCTTTTTTCGCCAAACTGACCAGCATTCGGACGAGGGCTTCGTACCAAAGATTTGCTGTCAGCCTGTCTGTATCAGGAAAGAGAGATCAAAGAACGTGGAGAGTTTAACTTCTTTATTATGGTATACAATAATGTTCGAGCTGTATTTTTTTTTATAGTCCGAAAGTTTACAAAGCATTTGGGTCAACTATATCTCCCAGAGGATCAAGAAAATAGGGTGAATGCCCCTTCCGACGCTTGGATTTGAATCCGGGATAAAAGCATACATTGCATGTTTTTCGAGTTGTATTACAGGAGTATCAAAGATATCAAGACTCAGAAACAGTGAACATACAATAAGAACAAAGTGGTATATAAACAAAATATCCAATTTAATAACCTTACAATAAGAATCTAACCAACTCTATAATGTTCATCCATGCACCGATAATATAGTGTTCTGATGATGTTCTCATGACCGAAACAGTTAGAGCAATTCCCCAATTTGGTGGGGCTGCAACTTGCAGTCATCTCTTCTGTAATCAAAATCAGAAAGCTTCCCACAAGTGGATCATGGATGAACACTAATCAACTTTCAGGGTTTTTGGTCAAAAAAAAAATGAAAAATGAAAAAAGGATGGTAACATGAAGCATAAGTTATGTTCCTTTTTGTGTTCTTTAGTTGGAAATTCCTGTAATGAGAAAAAACATCCCACCTTACTCTGTCTCTCTCTCTCTCTCTCTCTCACGATTTGACAAACAACCACTTACATATGTTTGTTCATAACAGTAACACACTTGGTTTCTCCAGAGATTCAGACAGAAGAAACCTGCATTTTTCACTGTCCATGAATGAGATCATATGATTCTTCACACAATAACCACGTAAAAGTTTTGTTTTCTCGCTTGCGTCTGCACGAAATGGAAAAGTATACAACGTACGATCATATATACCATGAGAGAGAACTCTGTTTTACACTAATATAGCCTTATAAAACAAGGTGACGGTCTGTAAATGTACATACTGGATTACTCGGAGACATATAATCACGAAAGTAGACGCTAAGCCTCTGTATATATATATATATATAACTTGGCGACACTAATACGCGAAATGGGCATCTGAAAAAACGCCTTTTTTCCCCTACTCTAATGGGGATTCATCTCCGAAATCGTCTCTGAAGCAAGAAAAAGGGCTCTGAATCTGCATGTCGCTGATCATTTGCCTGAGTTCGGTTGCTTCTTCTTTGAGCTGAGAATTCTCCTGAAGAACCTTCTCATGAGACTCTGAAACATGGTTTAGCTTGTCCAGCAACTGGTGATTTTCGTTCCTGAGGTACATAACCTGTGACCAGAGCTCGTCGAGGTGCCTTTGCTTTCTCATACGCGATCTTCTCGCTGATTCCCTGTTCGATATCATCCTCCTCTGTTTCCGCTCGTTGATTATGTCCGTTTGTTTGTCCTCTGCTTCGTCCGAGGTTGAATTGTTGCTGCTGAGGCTCATGGTAGTAGCTGCCTGGAAACTGTAGAATGGATTTGGGTTTTGCCCATTTAGGTCAAATGGTGAAGAAACGGTGAAATGAGAGGGATATGGCGTTGGGTTTGTAGAGATCAAATAATTATGGAGGCTAAAAACGTCGGTTGCCGGCTGCATATCGCCGTAACTTGGATCACAAGTTAGGGTTTCCGATGATTAAAGAAGAAGAAGAAGAAGAAGTTTTGATGGAGTGTGTGTGTGTGAAGAGAGAAGTTATATAGAGGAAGAGAAGGTGGGAAAGTGGAGCCCAGTTTCTGCAATTGGGTGCAGCAATATCAAAGTTGCAACAAAAGTATTTCATAATTAAATCGCATCCTTCAGCTTAACATATGTGTGTATACCTATCCATGTGTTGTATGTTTTGGACATACGAATATAATATATACTTCATTGTGGAATATATATATATCGTATCATGGTCTAAAGGAAAATGTTTAGAGGTGAAAGCAAAAGAGAGTTGGCAACAATGATTAATGGAGGTCAATCTCTTATGAACAGACAAACAAAAATACAGAATTATGTGCATGTATAGATACGTCTTTGTGTATAAATAAATATACAAGATTGCGTAGGTTAGTCTCCATATAAATCTTGTCATACCTTTTGATTTTTTTTTTTGGGCGGAAATGGGAAATATCGACTTTTGGATTCACAAAACGTATCCAGCCAAAGAACTAAAATCTTGTTGGAGGATATACATACATACAGATATATATATACACACACATTTCTCTTATATGCATGTTTTCATCGAATGAATCATTATATATAGATAATAGATCCCTACCACTTTGTAATTTTTCTGCTTAAATATTTGTACAAATAAAAGGGTATCCGAGGCATCTGCAGCCACAATGTTTGGCCTGTTATTGGCATGTATGGTTGTATCATCATGCATGCAAACACACACAACACAACACTATATACATATATATATATATATACACACACACATGTGGCAGGCTACGTGGGGAGTAGTGGATAATCATTTTCAGATGAAATATTTTTCCTTCTTACATCAGCAGGAGGAAGACATGGCATTTTCTTTGTGTGTGTATGTCTATATTATATATATATATATATATATATATATATATGTGTGTGTATGAGTGTATGTAATTGAGGAATTAAAAAGAATAAGGTGAGTGGTGCTGATGTCGAAGGAGTCAATCGCTTAGTATTTTAATTGCACGCCAAAGCAGTTTATGGATTGAGATTTTCGATCCTTTCTTTCTACTTTTGCAAATTGGGGTTTCATTTGCGTTGCTTTTAATAATTATTGGAAGTTGGACCAACAAATAAACATCCACAATTTCTTATTAATTTTTTCTCATAAAAAATCAAATTCTAAGAATTAATTATAAGGTTTAGAATGAATATGCGTAGAACCCTATATAATATCCATATGCCTGAGTGATTAGATAATCACACGTACGCTTTAAATGGTTACTTAAAACCAGTAAAAACATGTTATATTTTAATCGACTTCATATTTTTATTTAGTTGATAAAACAGTGTTATTATAAAAGTGAATATCGTTAGTGTAAAAAAAATAGTTAAGGTGTAAATGGTGGTGAAAAAAAAAATTTCAAGAGATGATTCCGGAACTATGAATTGGTCCGAGATATAATTATTATGTTTACACATTTCTTACAACATGATTCCTACATATTTTATTATTGAAAGATGATACTCCATCCGTTTCAAAATATTTGTAGTTTTAGGTTATTTTCTATGTTTCAAAATATTTATCATTTTACATTTTCAAGTCATTTTTTTATAATAGTTTTCAATTTTATCCCTATTAAATTCTAATAAATTATTAATGATAATATTGTTTTTATCATTAAATAAGGGTATATGTGAGTTTTTTTTTTTATCTTTTCTTAAAAAATATGAAATAACCTAAAACAATAATTATTTTGAAACGGATGGAGTAATATTTTAGGATAGTGTATATAACAAATTGATTATCTATATTAACTTAATTTACTGCGGGCATATCTTATATATAAAAGTCAGATCAAAGATCGATTGCGATGTACATATCCTTTAAAAATGCAAATACCTCCATATATCGTAAAAACTATTAGATCCATATTTGTTTCGATAAATACATATTAAATGTTTTGTTATTTTATATACATATATAAATTTCTTAAAAAAATTAAAACTATATCGATTTAGTATGGATAATATATATGTTACATATCTAGTAAGTATCAATGTATGTATATACGTAAAAATATACACGTGGGAATACGTGCGTGTCAAAGAGTGCGCATAGAGTTGGAGACCTCGTAGTATTTATACATTTGAGACTTTTTTTTCACGTAACTTGTTTTTATTAAATGTACAATTCTCCATGTGCATACCACACGCGCTGTCTCGCCCTTCGAATCCATACAACCCCACTTTAATTTTTATGTTTTTTCTTAAAAAAATTCATTACTTTTAATAATTTAAATTTCGCTTTCACTGAAGGCTTTGAAAAAAATACAAATAGGAAATCGATTTTTTTTTAAAATCACAATAAAATCTGAATCAATATAAAAATGGAATTAATATATTTTTTCATTGGAATTTTCTCCTAAATAATGAATTGAAAATTGAAAAATAAACCCTCAATATCAAATTCTAATTCGTATAGATATTAGATACCAATAGGAAACAATGATTGAAACTAAAATCTAGCTCATCCTCCCCTCTTTAAGATATCGAGTACGCATGTTTCCTATATTGCCCTTATCATCTGAAGTTGATTTACAATTATCCAAAACTACAAAGCTAAGGGTAATTTAGTAATCTGGACTTCACGACAAAGGACAAACCCCTAAAGTCACGGCTCAGGTCATGCACGGAAGAGTACTTGGATGTAACATGTCTTCCATTAACAATTGAATTGTGACAACCAAAGCAAATAATGGAATCTTTCAAATTCTAAATAATTATATCATATATTTTTATTTAGAAAAATGACTATTGGTGTAGAACACAAAAAAAAATATAAAAGCCGAATTCATCAAATTGATATCTAATATGATTGTCCGAGTGGAAATATATATAATGAGTACAAAAAACATTGTGGAAATTATATGAAATATTCATTTTTTCAAATACTTATACACACACAAACTGTTTTGGTAAACCTATGTTTAGTTTTTCTTTAGGGTTAAAATTTATGTGAAACAAATAATAATCGACAGATAAAAGAGATTTTATATGTGGATAAGCGTTATAAATAATTAATTCAAAAAAAAAGACGGGAAAAAATGTTGGGCGCATGATAGTATCGTAGGTGGACCATTTGCTAACGAGCACGTTTGATTGTCTAAGACTCCAAGTGCACCACCAAGGTCTCTTTTATTTTAATCTTTCAACTCGAACCAAAAAAAAGGAATAATTCCAATTTCATAATTACGAACTAAGATCATATAAATCGCATTATTAATGTCCGCAAAGTACTCAGAGAACCCTGAAATTCATTTTACAAGTATTATATAATCGATATAGAAATTTCGCATTCAATATGGTTAAAATTAATCAAGCAAGGAATTGATACAAAATAATAATTAAATTAGAAACAACAAATTTTTAAATAAAACAAATTCAAATAAAAACTAATCACGTCAGAATCAGATATATGTTACTTTTTTAAATACAAAATATTAATTTTCTCAAATGGTCCGTGTTGAAGACGAACAAACCGAGATACACGTTCGAGATCAGCAAACCGAAAGCAACGTCCAAGAAGAAGACCAACCGTGTAAAGTTTCTGGAGCAGGAAGAGGGTTTGAAGATATCGACGGAGATCCTCTCGACACATCAGGGCGTGATTGACTTTTATGTAAATGACAAACTTCCTTTTCTTGTAATTAGGAAATATTCTTACAACGTACTTACCTTACTTGTAGCCTAAGAATAGCTATATGTTGTACCCTATTCCATGTACAGATTATCAGACAAAGGAGAATAATATTTTTGAGTCGTTCATCTTCTTCCTCTGTCCATCCCTTCGTCTGTTCATCTTTTGCTTTTTGATAAAACTCTTTATGGTATCAGAGTCTGTCTACGTGGACACGTTTCCACCGTTCGATTGCCAGTATGTCCGGTTTAGGTAATTTTGAAGTTTTACTATACAATTAGTCCTTTTTATGAAAAAAGAATATAAATATTTGTACATTCCATATCAATAATCTAAGGATAACTACGAATCTAACGAAAGCTCGTATATGCATCGATGTATGAAAAATCTTAAAACAGCTAAACAAAACCATCTGATAAGGAATTGTTAAAAAAAACATTTTCTATAAGATATGCAAAATATCATGGAATCCGAGAATGATCCCACGATATATTATAGACAAACCTTACCTAACAGAATATTATGCAAGAGGTTGTTTTCAGAATTCGATATTATGATAATAATATAGATATTTTTTTTTATATCTCTTGATATTTTTTAAGATATTTTTTACATCTCATCATATATATAATAAATTAAATCTAAAAGCTGATTTATTGCGTTTTGGTTTGCAGTATCTATTTGTTACGTACGTCCGGCCGTTTGGACTCGTCGCAAGTCTCGTATAGTTTCGATCCAACAACCAAAATATTGATCGTGTACGTACGAATGTCGATTCGAATAATGTAATCGAGATCAAGCATGTAATTATGCCAAACAAACATAAACTTTTATTCAATAATAATATCATAAAAAACATATAACCATGAACCAACAAAAGGGGATAAGATTTAAAGCCAATTAATATATTGTGATTACGGCTTAGGATCCCATGGAAAACAAATTTCCTTACCAACTATTCTGCATGGAAAATCCTCTTCGTCAAAAGGCGCCGCAATGAGTGCCGGAAACACCATCTCCTTCACTCAAGAAGAGTTTAAGCAATTTATTCTTTCCATGAAAGACAAAGAAAGCGGTAACTTTTCTAATCTTTCTTTCCCTCATATTGTGATTGATTCCGGGGCAACCACACATATGTTTCATGATAAGAATATGTTCTCTCACATTGATAAATCCTACGGCATGGTGACTATCGCAAATGGTAAGTTGGTTCCCATTAAGGGACAAGGCTTGGTACGTTTGTTTGGTAAGGAGTTTTTAGCCTTGTATGTCCCTGAATTTAGCACAAATCTATTATCTATATCTCAGCTTATTCACGAC